ATTGCTTTGTCCTGAAATCTCAGGACGAAGTTTCAACTGCTTTGCATCCTACACAAAGCATTTTATAAATTGACCTACTTTTCCTTCTTCTGATTTCCCAGCCTCATAACACCCACTTGTTCTTCAAGACTCAGCTTATGAGTCAGCCATTTTATGGAAGATTCTGCTGGTGTCCTATGCAGTGCTTAAAATGCTCTGTCATTTAGAACACTCCTAATTCCCTAGGATGTAGCTCAATCCATGGTTCCCCAACACTGTCTATGCAGCATCCTTAGAAGGTTCATCATTCCTGGCCATCTTGCGTTCCCTGCATTCTAGTTGCTATTTATTGCCACACTTCCGTGGCACGACCACATCCTTTGTGCATGTGTGGGTGGATGCCAAGTTGCTCTTTATTCTCCAAGTCTTTTGTCATTCTCTAGGATCCAGGCAGTCATTTCAACCTTCACACAGATGATCTATCTGCTCCCGAATGCCCTCAGACACTTTTTCTCTATCTACCCTCAATTATGTATATTTTTCCAAACACTTATTAAATATTTTAACACTAGAACCCAAATCTCTACCTATTGAATGATTGAGTAATATGATTTAGCTCTGTGTCCCTGTTCAAATCTCATCTTGAATTGTAATCCCCACAATCCCTGTGTGTTGAGAGAAGGACCTGGTGAGAGATGGCTGGATTATGGGGGCAGTTTTCTCCATGCAGTTCTCATGATAGTGAGTGAGTTCTCATGAGATCGAATGGTTTTATAAGTGTTTGATAGTTCTGTCTTCACATGCTTTCTCTCCTGCTGCCTTGTGGAGAAGGTGCCTGCTTCCCCTTCTGCCGGGATTGTAAATTCCCTGAGGCTTCCCCAGACATGAGGAACTGTGACTCAATTAAAGCTCTTTCCTTTATAAATTACTAAATCTCAGGGAAGTTCTTTATCGCAGAGTGAGAAGGAACTAATTCCTCCTCCCACTCATCCTCCTCCACCCCCTTGACCTCGCCCTTTCCTTCCCTTCCTCCTCCTCCTTCTTCTTTTTCTTGACAGGGTTTCTAGCACTTGGGCTGGAATGCAGTGGTGTGATCACAGTTCACTGTAGCCTTGATCCCCCAGGCTCAAGTGATCCTCCCATCTCAGCTGCCCAAGTAGCTGGAACCGCAGGTGTGCACCACCATGCTCAGCTAGTTTTTTTTTTTCCGTAGAGATAGGGTCTTGCCATGTTGCCCTTGCTGGTCTTGAACTCCTGGGCTCAAGTGATCCCCCTCCTCGGCCTCCCAAAGTGCTGGGATTGCAAGCTTGCACCACTGTGCCCTGCCTATTGAGTTTCTAAGAGCTCATTCCTGAGATGCTGTTTCTTTGTTATATCAACCCCCAAATGATATTATCAATTCTCATATATTAACATGTTAATAATTGGCACATTTATATCTCTAACCCAAACAGGTTTTGGGGACTTCTCTGACTGCAAAATTTGCATCTCAGTTTGGATGGCATATGGCACTTCACATTTAATTAGTCAAAACTAAGTTCTTGAGCTTCCTTTAAAACTGTATTACCCTTATTTTCCACTTCTTCTAAATGGCACTATAATTTATCCAGTTATTCAGTCCATATGTTGAGAAGTTAGTATCAATCACTGTCTCTAAACATTCTCATCCAAATTTTTACCAATCCTGTCAATTCTACCTTCAAAACAAATCTAAAAATGTATCAGTTTCTCCTCACTTTAAACCATCACTACCCTAGTTCAAGAGAGCATCATCTCTTCACTGGACTCTTGCAGTAGCATTAGAACCGGTCACAATGTTTGCATTCTGTCTCTCACAGCAGCCCAAGTGGTAGATGTTTGAATGCAATCAAGATCTTATTCTCCGGATTAAAATCTTTTCATGGACTTCCCCCCCACACTGTAATTGAAAAACAATAAAAAAATTAAAGCAATGTTTTTTCTGCCCTATACTCCTTATAGCTTGTCTACTCTGGCCTGCCCCCACCCACCTTTCCCCTGCTTTATTTTGAGTCCCTCTCTTAGGCTCACCATGTTCTAGCCACTGGGATCTCAGTTCTTTGGAATAAGCCAACCTCTCTTGTACCTTAGGGTGTTGATTTATAGGGCTCATTTCTCTTCTTTGCCTTTCTGAGTGCTTGTCTCCTTTTATACTTCAGGTTTGGGGAGCATATATAATTTTTCATGACATAAACTTAGATATCGAGACTTGATAGAATACCTCATGCTGTTACTCTCTCTTCTTTAACATTTATCTTTTGGAAATGGAATCGCCCAAGCCAAGCCTTGTGCATCTTATTCTCTTAATGATGTTAAATCCACATTCTTTCCAGGAAAAGAAAGCATTGGTCAGTGACAAAGAACTAAAAGGTGCCTTGCCTGTAAGGCAAGATTCTTCGAGGGCTTCTGACCACACTGATGTTCATGACTCTCTTGCATGAATAGAAGAAAAATATTCTAATTGCAAAAAGTTGTACTCTGCTACTTCCAGCTCAGACTGTATCTAAAGTGCTGAGTTAAATTGCAGCTATGCTCTTTAAGGGAGATATAGATGAAGATAAGACCTATGTCTCTGAGCAAAGGGTTCAATGTACAGGAGAAGCTCTCCTGAAAGTAGACTAGTCCTGTGTGTCCTTCATGAGAACTGTGTATATTTTAATTTTGTTTCTTTTTATAATTTTTTTGAGATGAATGTAGGAAAATAACTAAAATAAATTCTTAATTGTCCAATACAAGTCAGGATGCCTGATTTCAAGAATAGACTTTATTGTATTATACATTTTGATATATTGGAGAAGCCAAAATCAACATTTTTTAAAATGAAGTCAGGTTATCATAGGTTAATACTTGAGTGCTAACAAGATAAAAATGTAGGTATATAAAAAATAATTCGAGTGCATTAACAAGTCCAGCTGTCCATGAACTCTTAGATTAATCTCTCTGGTAAGTGTGTTCCTTCTCTGAGGCATGCCTAGAGTTCTTTTTCAAAATAGAAAAATAAAATAAAATGGGAGCTAGCATCTTCCAACTTTCTAGAGGAAATTTAGACATTTAGGAGATGCCAGCTCCCATTTTATTTTTTTATCTCTATTTTGAAAAAAAAAATTTGAGACAGGTTCTTACTCTCTTAGATTGGTGTGCAGTGGTATGATCATGACTCATTATAGCCTCGAATCTCCTGGGCTCAAGGGATCCTTCCACCTGAGCCTCCTAAGTAGCTGGGAATTTTTCTAACTAGAAATGTGGTCTTGCTATGTTGCCCAGGCTGGTCAGCTTCTGTATTATTGACTTCTTTATATGTCTCCCATCTACACTGATGCCTTCATCATTTTCCCTTCTATTCTACACCATGCCTGGCTTCCTGATACTACTAAGAGTTCCCCGCTGGTGTCTGCTTGCCTGTAGTATCCTTCGTGGTTTTCAGTTCTATTGGCACAACCTGATTTCCACTTCAGACATAATGAATCAGAGTCTGCAGAGCCAAGAAGTTTGTGTGGAAAGCAAAACAAAAACAAAAGAAAACTCCACATATGGTTCTGAACTATAGCCCAAAGTGAAATCCTTGGGCTGCAAATAATTCAGTTTGAATCTTACCTGAAAAATATGGGCAAGTTATTTAACTCCCAAAGCCTTTAAAAATTTTCATCCAATTACTTTTTAATTTTTTAATTTTTTTCCCCTGAGATAGTCTTGCTCTGTTGCCCAAGCTGGAGTGTAGTGGTGCCATCTTGGCTCACTGCAACTTCTGCCTCCCAGATTCAAGCAAATCTCCTGCCTCAGCCTCCCAAGTCGCTGGGATTATAGGCACATGCCACCAAGCCCAGCTAATTTTTGTATTTTTAGTAGAGACAGAGTTTCACCATGTTGGCCAAGCTGGTCTCAAACTCTTGACTTTGTGATCTACCCACCTCAGCCTCCTAAAGTGCTAGGATTGCAGGCGTAAGCCACCATGCCTGGCCGTCATCCAATAACTTTTATTGAAGGTTTCTATGTGTTAGAGAATATGCTAAGAACCATATGCAGATTATCTTATTGTATTCATACGATAATGCTATGAAGTGGGTATTCTTATTAACTCATTTTACAGATAAAGATCTGAGGCTTATTGCATTTAGTAAAGCTAAAGTGCCAAATATTACACATGTGGTGATTAATGAAGCCAGGATGTAAACCCAAGTGTCAGTCTGTCTAAAGGATTTATTATGGTACTTGACAGATGATACACAGTCACACTCAGTAATGACCATCAGTAGCATCATATTATCATTCCCCTTATCATCATATGCCCAGGACTTCACATCGAATGCTGGTCTTTTTCTGGAGCCAGTAAATAATGCATACCTCACACCTTCTTCTGGATTTTTGAAGGGTAAGATATTGCCAAGTGTCTGGTGGAAAATCTGTTTTTAATCTCAGAGATCTGTACATCTTACACATTGTTGTGGAAGTTTACAAGAACCCACAATCTAATTTAACATGGAAGTGGAGAAAAACTAGGTTCTCTTCCCAAAAAGAAAACCCTAAATATATTTCATGAAACTTCTGGTAAATTTTGCTATTGTCAAAATGGGATTTCAGCATTTAGAAAGATTTCTTCTATAACCATTGAGAATAGAGGAAGGTCTGGTATGATCTAAAAGCTTCCTCCAGGATGCACAATGAGGATACTGGAGCTGTGATACTGAAGTTCCTTAGTCTAGGTTAGCAGTCCTTGCTGTGGGCTTAGCTTAACTTTACTTTCTGTTTTTCCCCCGACATGTTGATAAAAAAAAATGATTCTTAATTGTTCATGTCAAAGGTAAACTTTTTGAAAAGCATAGTGTCAAAATGTTTTATTGCTTTAATAACACATTTTGACATCTTACCTAACAAATCCAGCAATATCTTACTGATTAGATGTTATGGTAAAAGCACAGCACCGAAGAAATAAGCCATTGGTGGAACTACTTATTCGTAACATAGAGAAAAGCAGTCTTCATAAAACATAAATGTGACACAGTTACCTGTCATGTTGCAGTAAACTTTCAGAGGCCCCAGAGGTCCACTGCCATCAGGATCTATCCAGTAGTAATTTGACGTCTGGCCTAGGTGTTTGTATGCTTCGCAGGAAGGCTCGTAGATAGCTAGAACAAAATATCCTATATAAGCACAGCACAGAACAAATGGCTCCCCAGATAAATGCCCCAGTGGCACATGTAATGCCAGCAAACCATTAGTCAGGAGTAGTTCTTCTTCCTATAATGAGCATTTTTTTTCTCTAAGTTTAAATTCATGATTTGCTTCCTTCTCTAGAAGCATTCCTGACCTAACAAAGGCAGCAAGCTCCTGGTATGACTTTATGATGGGGAAAGGACTAAAACAATCATTAAAAAAATGTCCTGTTTATTTTACTGGGGCTCATGATCATTGAAAAAAAATTTAATTTATAGTTATTTGTAGACATTAGCCTCTTACTATCAAAAACTTTATTTTCATAAATGTTGTCTGCTTCATTGGTTGTCAACTCAGAGGCCAGAAAAAATTACTCTTCAGTCTCTCTGCTTCTCTCTTCTGGACACACACACATACACTCACACAAACACATATTTTTTGCATAGTTATTACAGGTTTCCCATAAATAGTATGTAATTTTGAATCTTCCTTTATCTCAAAAAAAAGACAGGAAAGAAATTTCTCTGATTCATTTTATTTATTCCATGTACTTTAATTACATCAAATCTAGTTTGTACAGAAAGCTGACATTCATGTAATTAAATTATGTTCTTATTCATTATTTCCCCTTTTATTCCAGTGCTCATGACAAATTTTCTTTTTTGCACAGAGATTGCACCTGTTTTCAGAAGTACAAAACGGACATTTACAGATCTCCTTTGTAGTTACAACATCTAAAATGCTGCTGTGAAAACTTCTGAAACAGCTCCGCCCAGGAATTCATGAAGAATATGAAAGTTCTCTTCAACTAAGATACGGCTTTGGTAAAAATATGTCTACCTGATGACACGAGCAGGGAAGTCTTTGGGTAAGTTGGACTTGAATCGCACCCCTAGGGGTTGTCGTGTTTTAAATTACAAAACAGTATAAAATAAATTACAAAACATTGTAAAGCTTATAATTCTAATGTACTAATTAAAAATAATTGCATGGTCCTAGAATTAGAGAGCTTTCCCTGAGAAGGGTCTCAGGGTCATTGCCGCTTCTCCGGATTTCCAGCTTGGCTGTGCACAAACCTTAGTAGTTACTCTCACAGGAATAATTAGGTTCTGGAAAACCTGTTTCTCCAACCGAATTCACTAGCGCCTGGTTGAGATCAGAAAGTCAGTTTCATGGGTGGTCTGATTTGGGACCTCCCTTTTTAAATCTTCCTGTATCAAGATTTCTGTGCCTCCTTTGGCTTTCTCCAAGCATGTAAGACCTTCCACTCGATGTCATTTCAATGACAGCATACTAGAATTAAACTCTCTAAAACTCTGTGATCGATTCATTTCTTCTTCCATGCCTCCCTGCCTCATTTCCTCCTTTTGCACACAGTTACTGAGGAGCTACGGTGTACTGAGGAGTGCATTAGGCGTTGAAGATCCAGCTGTGAACAACACAGATAGGCCTTCGGAACAACGTTTGTTCACTAATGATTTTGGTATTGCTCATTCGTAAACTGCTCTTAGAAGAGGATGGGGCTAGTAAGCTAAGCAAAGCCTAGACATCTTTTGTCCCAGTGTAATTAATATGCCCACTGTCAATGTCCCAAGGGTCTTATTCAGGTGATAAACTACATAGCTTCTCTAATTCCACATGCCATATCAAGTAAAACAGCACAATAAAAAGCAGGGGAGACGTATTTTTAAACTTTTAGCAGGAAGATGCCATAAGTCAACATAGGCTGCATATCAACTTATATAGAATGAAAACTCTGCATAGCAAAGCAATAGGTTTTATGAAAGTGATTCAAAAGGTAAAAGTAATATTCAGGCTGTTTCAACTATAGGCTGCCATTTGAAAGCTTACCAGGACTTAAACTAAAGCAATATGACAAAGAATAAATAGGACTGATTCAAACGTTTGTTTTTTAAAGATCTGCAAGACATAGAAACCGACTGGATACAGGTGTTTAGGAATAAAGAGGAGTTAAGAGTAATCTAAGCTCACAATCTATGAAAACAAAAATGTTTAATTAATGTTTTACACCTCTCTCCAGATTATTAAAATTGTTATGTATAGTTCTAGAGAAACCAGGATGTCAGGTTCAAATCCTAGTTTTCCTCTTAGTCCATTTGGCCAATCTGTCACTGAAACCACCTTCCCTTCTGTTATAATATTTAGTAATTAATCATTCTCTTTTTCTTCTGCCAAAACTCCTTATCGTTGTCCTTCATCGGGTATCTTGTTTACAACAGTCACCTGATTAATTGGTTGTTCTACCCAAATATCTCTTCACATCTCCACCAAGTAGGCTTTTTAACCAGTGTTCATCTAGTTATGAAACATCGCTTTTATGTTATGTGTGATGCTTATTCAATATCTATAAATTATATCACAGATCTTCATCTATGTATACAAGAACTTTTATTTTCCTAACAAGTTTTTCTTTGCTTCAGCTATTTACCAATGTAAACGTTGTGCTCTGGTCAGGCAAATTCACCATGGGAGCTTGCTTACCTCACCCTCATCCTTTCCAGAGCAGCCTTTATCTATAACATACTACCAGCCTCTTTCTCAATCTACAAAAGTTCTCAGTCAGAGTTAACAATTAGGCTGGGCACAGTGGCTCACACCTGTAACTGCAACACTTTGGAAGGCTTAGCTGGAAGGATTGTTTGAAGCCAGGAGTTTGAGACCAGCCTGGGCAACACAGCAAGACCCCATCTCTTAAGAAATGAAAGTAAAGGCGGGTGGATCACGAGGTCAAGAGATCGAGACCATCTTGATGAACATGGTGAAACCCCGTCTCTACTAAAGATACAAAAAATTAGCTGGGCATGGTGGCGCGTGCCCGTAATCCCAGCTACTCAGGAGGCTGAGGCAGGAGAATTGCCTGAACCCAGGAGGCGGAGGTTGTGGTGAGCCGAGATTGCACCATTGCACTCCAGCCTGGGTAACAAGAGTGAAACTCCGTCTCAAAAAAAAAAGATCTCTTTTTCTTCAAAGTGTAACAATTATGGTGCTTGCCTTTAACCTACAATAGGCCTAAGCTGCTTTGCCTCATCAACACTCATGGAAAACCGAATATTTCAGTCCAAAGTTTCGCATGTATGAAACACCTAGAGAGCTTGTTAAAACAGAAACTCCTGGACTTCACCCCAAAGACTTCGACTCAGTAGAGAATTTGCAGTTATAACAAGTTCCCAAATGATGCTGGCACTACTGTCCTCAGACTGCATTTGGAGAAGCATAGCTTTCATCCTGAAAAAAAAAGTGAATTCAAGAAGGGTAGACTAATTTTGATTTATATTTAAATATCCAGCAAAAGTAGGTTACTGACAGACAATACAGTAAAACTGTAAATATGATAAGGTTAGAATGTTTTCTCACTTCACTCAAAATATGATAAAATGGAATGGGATGCAAAACTGTAATGTCAAAAGAAATGTATAAATACACAGAAAAAGGTTTATAAAGAAATACCACTCAAAATAATAAGAGTGGTTATTTTTCAGAGGTAATATTGTGGGTGATTTAAAACTCTTCATAGTTTTTAAAATTTCCTTAAAAACGTGAATATGTTATTTTGTCATTAAAATATGTATTTTGTCATTAAAATACATTTAAAAACATGTATCTAGAATTTTGACCCTGGGGTAAAATAACAAGAATAGCTGTGACAGAGCAAAATCACATTAGTTTTATCATCAGCATAAAGAATTAAGAAATTTTAGTTCATATCTCCTTTCTGCCATTTACTGCTTAGAAACTCTTCCTAACATCTGTTTTTTTCAACTGTAAAATTAAGGTATTAAGTTGGTGCAAAAGTAATTGCAGCTTTGCCATGAAAAGTAATGGCAAAAACTGCAAATACTTTTGCACCAACCTAATAGTAATACCTTCTTCGCCAAGTTATTGTGAAGATCAAATAAAATCACACACTTCAAAAACTAGAAGTTATTGAGTATATTTAACTGTTCATGCAGAGAATGAGCTAATGACAGTGTTTACCCTGCATGCCTCAGCCAGTTAACTCTGCACCCAGTGGAATCCTAGCTTGGTTGCACAATTTTTGCACATTAAACCCTAGGAGAGGACAGAACACAAGAGCTAAGGCAGCAGCCACTGAAGAAAGAGAAGGGTCTGAGCCATCGTCAATAATTGAGTTTTGCTAGTAGCCTGCTGAAGAACAGAAAGGTAATTGAGCTGATGGCAAAATAAATAGACTCATCAAGTCTATTGATTTATTGGTAAAGTAATTTTTCTCTGTTGCAACTCCAAGTCCCAAGTACAAGTTCTCATACTATCTATTCATAAGTAAATCTCAGCTATTCAGAAATATTACTACTGAACATATGAGATTGCATTTCATAGCATGCAAAAATGTAAACAGTGACAAGTCCTTTTTATCTTTTTTTTTTTTTTTTTGATATGGAGTCTGGCTGTCACCCAGACTGGAGTGCAATGGTGCAATCTTGGCTCATTGCAACTTCCACCTCCCAGGTTCAAGAGATTCTCCTGCCTCAGCCTCCCAAGTAGCTGAAATTACACATGTATGCCAACATGTCTGGCTAATTTTTTTATTTTCAGTAGAGATGGCGTGTCACCATGTTGGCCAAGCTGGTCTCAAACTCCTGACCTCAGGTGATCCGCCTGCCTTGGCCTCCCAAAGTGCTGGAATTACAGGTGTGAGCCACTGTGCCCAGCCTCTAAATATCTTATTCCTTTTAATTAAACAATAAATGTTGTCTGTGTATTACCTATGATGGAAAATGAAGTACTATTGAATTAGTTTCCTCTTGCTGCTATAACAAATGACCAGTTAGTGACTTAAAATAGCACCAATTTATCTTACAGTTTTGGAGATAATACAGTTAATAATAATGATACAGTTTTGGTTTCCTGGGCTAAATTCAAAGCCTTGGTAGCACTGTTTCTCCTGAAAACTCTAGGGAGAAACCTATTTTCTTGCCTTTTCCCAGTTATA